AAAAAAGCTCTTTTAAATATCTATATTGTAATTCGCAGCTCCTAACCAAAGGCTGCTACCCACCAGCAAACGGACACAGCATGATATCAGAAGCACTATCAACTCTGCGCCTCCGTTACGGCGAGCCCGTCCGCTTCAGGTTCCTGGTCGGCATGCTGCAGAGTTCTGGAGGTTGTGGAGACCTGCAGGCAGCTGGACTAGCATTCATTAATGCATTATTAGCCAGCGCTCCAACTCCTCAGAGGAAGCTGTACATACAAGCTGAACTTGAACAAGCTGGATTTGATATAATAACTTTAAAGAAGGTAATGAAAATGACTAAATAGAAACGAAATAAGATTAGCTTTCGCCCGGGACTCCGTCCGCGTAGAATTAAAAAAAAAACATACTATATGCATATGCCTATGTGTTCTTCAAGACTACTTTGGATATGCATACCAAATTTCATCGAGATCCGTTCAGCCGTTCTGGAGATACCTTCAAACAAACATCCATCCATCCATTCATTTAAACATTCGTGTTAATTATTGGTGAACTTGTTAATTTTACTACTATTACTAGTTATACTGTTGGAAAATAAGTATGTTACGATTTTTATTCATTTATTTCAGATAATTTCTAAACTTCCAAACACAAATGACGACGTTATAAAGGAGATAGAGAATTACGAAAAACAATTAATAGATATTGATACTTTGAGTGAAAAAGCAAATGAAGCGCAAAAAGAAAAGGATGACCTCAAACACAAATTAGAATTACTTGAGAAACGCGTGAAGGTAAAACAATACTCCTTTTCTTCCAGATTAGCTGTCGCTCGCAGCTCCGTTCGCACGGAATGAAAAAATAAACTTAATTAGTAATCTATGTGTTCTTCCAGACTATGCTCTACACCTATGCCAAATTTCAGTGAGATCCGTGCAGGCGTTCTGGAGATATCTTCAAACAAACATCCATCCAAACTTTCCCATTAATAATATTAGTAAGATTCGTATTTCCCCCCTCTGTATATAAGGTGTTATATTTAGTTGGGTTTATTTTTATTATTATATAAATGGTGTTTTTTTTTAGATTCTACAAGAAGAGAAAGGAATCCTTTTATCATTGGAGAAATGTCTAAAAGAAAAATGTTGTGAACTACAAGAAGAAGTAACAACGTTAAGAACAGAACATGGAAATTCAAATCGTAAGAAGACATTTGTTATTAAAAAAAAGAATGTCGCACACAAAAAGAGAGGTATACATTTTATATTTATTTAAATTCACAACGAATTAATCTGAAATGTCCTTTTTTCAATCAAGTGACTACAAAAAAAATAGATGTTGATTTTCAAACAACATCGTAAGTCATCAAATCTATAAATACCAACAATAAAAATAATCACCATCTTTCAGACGAGTCATCACCCCCAGAAGATGAAGGTATCAGTTCATCAGAAAGATCCTTGAGTCCTGAAGCCGATCCACAACGAGACGCCATGGTGTACGAAATGTTTAATGTTAAGAATGAAACTTATTACGACGTACTCCGAAATAAAAGACAACCAAAAAAATCAGAAACCAAGAAACTAAATGATAAAAAATCCTCAGACGAAGATGAAGAAACCACTATAGATGAAGTTATTCAAGAATTACGTAATATTGTAAACCACGCGGAATCTGAACATTATGTAAAATCCGATCAAACAAAATTTGAAGACAAATCTTCCAGATGTAAGGACAATACAGACTCTCATGTAATCAATGAAGTTAAAAATCATAGAACTTTAGAAAAGACTGATTCAATAACAAGCACTAGACATAGTATTCAAATAACTAGTAGCACGGAGTATCTGAATGAAAATAACGAAGACGAAGATGAGGTAAAAACTAGATCTGTTCAAAGTAAAATCTTCCCAAATCCAATAAAGAAACCGAACAGTTTATCTCATTTATTTGTTCCACAAACAGACCAAGGTATCCTTTTCAACAGACACTCTGATATGTTTGAAGATTATTTTTCAAGTGATGATGGATCCGATTCCTTACTAAGTGCATCCCATTGTCAAAATAGTATTGAAAAAAAAACGTCCGTGACGAGTTTCGATTTTAAAGAATGTCAAGCAATTTTTAATACAATAGCTGAAAGAGAAATGGAAGATAATAAAAGACTATCGAGAACTCGTTCTAAAGAAGACTGCAAAAAAGCAACTGTTAAACGAAGTGAATCATTTCAAACAACTGAAAAAGGTTCACGACAACGTGAATATATTGACAGTATGTTCTATGAAACTAATAAACCTTTGTCAGACCACGCATCTTTACAACGAACAAATTCAAAATGTAGTAGAGTAGATGAAATTGTTAATCTGATAGAATCGAAAAAACTTACAAAAAGTCTTGATAGGATTGATGAAGGTTTAAATACGATGGTTGATATTGTAGTTATGAAAGGACCACTAAATAAGCCTTCAAAGCCTTACGAAAGACGACAGAGAACCTGTTCAGTTACAAACAGCGAAGATAATGATGCACCATTCTTTCCTCTGATGAGATCTAATAGTAAAGGTAGCCACACTTACAAATCATCAAGTCAAAAAGGAAACGATTTGATGACTAAAGCTGAAGGACAACAAACATTTGGATTGCCACCTTCTAAATTAAGTCAAGGAAGTTTTAAAAAATCGTCTAATTTTAGCAACACTTTTATTGTGAAGCGAGGTCACAGTAATTCTGGCTTTTACACTGGTCAGAACTTATTACGCGATGCACCTGCTAGTATGACAAGTCTTGTTATGAACGGAACACATTCTTTCGCCGATTTCAAATGTACCCTGTCCTCAGTAGGTTCTGTAAACGACTATGGAGTTCACAAACTAACAGACATGCCATCGGGTTTATATTGATTGTTATTTTCGATTATATTTTAATAACTTAATCAAAACCAACGACTAAATTAAGAACTTCGTACCTAAATACTTTGAATAGTGCAATATTATATACTTCATAAGTGTATTTAAATTAACTTATCTTACATATTCACTTTTGTATCTTAGTAATTTTGTTCATAAGCAAAATTCGCTTAAGATCGTATTTTTGCACTTCTCTGAACTATGAAATAGTTTCAATATTTCCTCTAATACATTGTAACGAACGTATTTGAATTGTCCTGTATATATACGTAGGGCTTATCTTAAATTTTACTCTAAATAAATTTTTACAATTTATATTAAGTTTTATTTTCTTACCCTAATCGTAGACTAGGCATGCAAGGGCTTAAAAGGATGTTGTATAAGGATGTAATTAGCCACAAAGATTTATCATCATTGTAGTGTATGCATAAACGTAGTGTTGTTTGTCTCGAGCGTACACGCCATAAGTACATGCCGGAGAGAGGGGACGTCAGTCGATGTCAGACCTTTGAGCCGGCAACACGTGTCGGTACGTGAACGAGCCAAATATAGCACAACGAATGCTACAATCATCATCATCATCAGCTCACTATACGTCCCCACCGAGGGGCTCGGAGCCTACCCTAAGTAAAGAGTGATTAGGCCATAGTCAACCACGCAGGCCCACTGCGGGTTGGTTGACTTCACACATATCTTTGAATTTCTTCTCAGATACCTGCAGGTTGCATCACGATGTTTTCCTTCAACGTAAGAACGTCGTATAAATGTACATATGTGAATCGGAAATCGAAAAAAACACATTGGTACATGGCGGGAATCGAACCCAGGACCTGCAGATTGCAAGTCAAGTGACCCCTGAGCCTAAGATTTATAGTTGCTTGCTATTCATTAAAAAGCGTAAACAAAATTGATGAATATCTGAATACATCTGTCCTCAACATGTACGATAAAAGATTAAAAGAATAAGATTGTTAGCAATGCACATAATCAGGGAGTTATAGAACAACGAGAAAAATTACATAAATTTACGAGAAAAGAATCTCTTAACAGAATAACGAAAACGTACTATTCAATAACCATATTTTAAAAGAATGAAATCTGGACGATATAGGAAAAGAACGGATCTACAATGGAGGTGTCATGAAAGAAGATATCAAAGATAAAGTAGGTATAATAATAGACTTCGCAATTAATTCTAAACGATTCATCCCCTTCCTTGTCGACCCTTCTTCCTCTTAGGGAGCGTACCCATACTACGTGACCAGTTTAGTGGGGGGAAGGAGAGCGGACTCTAAAATATTACGGTCAGTCATAGGAGCGGGTGTGGGCTCAGATTTTAGTCACGTAGTCGTTAATTGATTTTTTTTTCATAATATTCACTAGTAATTTAAGAACGCATGCAGTCTTCTGCTATAATGAAGAGTATGAGCCTAATTATTTCTTTTTCAATTTTTACCCGTGAAATGATTAAAAATCATAATTATGGATAACTACGTAAAAGCTAGAGGGGGGTCTTGGCATGTACTAGGAAAACCTAAAAAAATAGGTCACGTAGTATGGGTATGTTCCCTTACTTTCCTTTTCAATATGAATTTTAATATAGAAAAGGGATAGAGGAGAGGGTGAGGAAGAAATTGGCTTTCATTACTGAATTCTTCAGATGAAGCTCGGAATTATATCCACTTCCCGCCTGTCTTCTGTTTCGAACATCAACCGAGTGGACCTTTCGTCCAGTACTGTTACGGGCTCTACCATTGTTAAAATGTCATGTCAGTCGGTCACCTATATTGTTTTTCATAATAAAAATCTAATTCATCGTCAAAACAACGTCTTCATTGTATAGTTATTTGTAAATAAAAACTATTGATTTACTGTAGTAAAAACAATATACAATCTATGCTTATACTGCTGCTAATATAAAATATGTTTGTCCGTGTGTATATTATAAATATTTTATTAACATAGCATATACTTATGAATTGTACGTCAATCAATTTCAAACATTAATTACAACTTAATATTTAGAAGTAAAAAAAAAGACATAACAAATTATCTTATATCAAATCAAACGTAAATTTAAAAAATAAAAATCACAACGAGTAAACCAATATCACAAACTATGTATTGTAGTAGTTTTGTTGCATATGACGCGACTTTTCTATCCAAACAATGATTTTCTTCAACACAACACAACTCATTGCGTTCATTTAGCAACCGTATTGCAATGGGGAAGCATTTACGATTTTTCGTTTCTTTATTGATTAAAATTCTCCTTTTTAAAGAAGGAAGATTTGATAACAAACATATGGATGATGAACTATCCATTATAGATGTGTTCGATTTAACCACACCTACCACATGGAAGGACCTCATGGACTATTATGGAGCTATCGAGAAACATTGGTAAGGATTCCATATTGAAAATATTAACTTTAAATGTCAACCTTTTTCATTGAAATACTAATCTTAACACGTTCAATGTCACTTTGATTTTTACGTAACAAAGCAGTCCAAGTAGGCAGCATTTAATGTATTACATTTATTTTTGCTTTACTTATATTTCTTGTATCATTCCGAGTAAGCTCTAGGCTTAAGTTACGATATGGTTTACAATAGTCCAATGGCGAGATTGGAACTCTCGACCACATAATCGGTAATCCACTTAACCATTATTGGTTTTCTATATTAAATTGTTAAAATTAATAACAACATCTGACATATCCCAGTCAGACTATATACCCATCGATTTTGGATTAACCAAAGTGATATTTGACGCTCCCTGACGACGAAAAACAGAGTATTTTATTTAATGAGACATGTATTTTGTAGGAGAATATGCGTTAACTGTGGCATACCTACATTAGGCACGGCCATACACCTGGAGCACGCTGGCTCTACGGGCTCCATGCAACCTGCAGTAATACCAACTGAATATCTACTAACACGACGTAAGGATTTTAGAGAGAGTTTCATCTTTAGCGTGTAAAATGATATGATTACTTAAATTGAGATGAGAACAGGAGGCAGGCTGTCATAGTATCATCATCAGCTCACTATACGTCCCCACTGAGGGGCTCAGAACCTACCCTAAATTAAGGGTGATTAGGCCATAGGTCTTAGTATATTTCTTATTAATGTTAAAAATGCGAATATTTGGAAGTATGTTTCACGCTGAAATTTCCTAATTTTTAATCAGTCGACAGAGTCGCGAGCGACAGCTAGTATTCGTATATGTATACGTAAAAGAAGTCGAAATACAAATAATAAATATTGTAACATAACTATCGTATTTTACTGTATGTTCTACAGTAGAGATAGTAGACTTAACGTCTCACGTCAAGACCCAGCAGGCTGCAGTCATAACTTTGGATATGGCGCTGCAGTGGTCAGCACTCAAACACGACCCGAGGGAGCCCACGCTCATTTTATTTAAGTTCGGCTGGAAGCGATCCATCACTTACAAGAGACGATGCGTTTGTAAAATACCTGGTGAGTTATTAAAATAATAATTTCAAGTTAATCTTACTATTATTATAAATGCGAAAATTTAGATTGATGGATGGATGTTTGTAATTAGATATATCCAAAACAACTGAACAGATTTCGCTATTTGACATGGATGTAGAATATGTTTGGGAAGAACAGATAGGCTACGAATAAAGTTTTTTTTTAATTTCCCGCGTGACAGTATAAGATTTTAGAAAAATAAAGGCCCAAAGTGACCACGAATCGTTGATGGCCTTGGACGATCTGTGAAGATTTATCATCAGTATATATCCATTCGCTAATAATTCTTAACACGTTCCGTATTTCGTCAGGTCTAAGCTACGAACTAGCGGAGTGGATAGCTGCGAACATGAGTCACGTGGTGGGCGTGGCAACAGACGCACCCTCCCTCGAGTCGGAACAAACGCGGGAGTTCACCAGCAGGACCATAGCGAACGTGCTCGGGAAAAGCGGCATCTACATGATAGAAAACGTTAACATCAAACGCAAGATACCTGGTAAGTACATCGACTGATGTTTAGGAACCTTGACATACAATTGGGCGGAGATCTTGGCTTTGTGGGCGGGGCTTCATCCTTTTAATTTTTCTAGAACCTTTTTAAACAGAAATTTCACTACAGAAAACTGGATATACTTATGGTAAGGCGTATATCTAAGGTATATTTTCTATTTATATTTTAAGATTTCCGTCCCTCGAAAGGAAAATAACGGAACCCTTATAAGATCACTTTTTCGTCCGTCTGTCTATCAAGACCCTTTTTTATGCTATTTTTTCAGAGCGTGGTTGCATGGCAATAGCGATGCCGTTGAAGATGCTCAGTGCCAACTACGTGCCAACACGACTCACAGCTTTCTGTCCATCGCAGAAGACCGACCAGCACGTGGCAATTGCACTCAAGAAGTCAACCTACACCACACAGATCGTCGAGAGTCGAGTATATGATGTTAATTTAGATGAATTGGTATAGAAATTAAAAAAAATAAAGATTCTAACATTAGTCTGATCTGCAAATAATGCATTTTGTGTCAATTTAGTAACTAAATTAATGAAAACACAGATCTTAAAAAAAATTGACAATGACAGCAGTCAGATAAAACGTAAAATATTGTATACAATATACTGTACTTAGAAACCAGAGTTAACTATATAAAATATCCTTACTAAGTAGTGATATAAATAAAATGTGTTTTATATCTTTATATATATAATTCTTCTGTGAGTGTGTATGTCACTGAACTTCTCTCAAACGACTGGACCGATTTTGATGAAATTTTTTGTGTGTGTTCAAGGGGATCTGGGAAAGGTTTAGATTCACAATTTTCATCAAATATGAACTTCATATTAATTTATTCAAATTAAAGAAGTGTAGACAGGACAACGTCTGTCGGGTCCGCTAGTATTATATATAATCAATTGTAAAAAAGATTATAGTGTTTAAAATATAAAATTATAACATATATGAAGTTTTACTGCTTATCCAAGTAGCCAAAATTCAGGGTTAAATTTTATTTATAGTGTTCACATTAGTTGTCCGTTTATAATTTACCTCCAAAAATTTAAGTAAATGTACCTCATTAACCGTGGATTTCTGACACCAAAATAGTTACCTATTGTGTCAAATATAAAAGGGACTAGCTGTCGCCCGCGACTCCGTCCGCGCGGGATTAAAAATAGATGTTAGCCGATTCTCAGACCTACTCAATATGCTCACAAAATTACATGAGAATCGGTCAAGCCATTTCGGAGGAGTATGGGAACGAAAATTGTGACACGAGAATTTTATATATATATTTTTTATATCAAAAGGTGGCAAACGAGCGAACGGCCACCTGAAATCGCTGAAATAGCAAAGTGACCGTTGTCCATAGACATATGCAATTGCATATGCGTTGTCTACTTTTAATCGACGGAGGAGAGGATGCACAGAAAGAAAAAAAAAATTCCCTTACCATGCATACTCTCATCCGGAAAGTCCACTTCCACTTCCCATCTTTTCCTTATAAAAAAGGGTGGGAAGGGAAAGAAGACTAAATTAGGCCTCCGGGACGCACACTCATCAGACTGCACGCGGAATAGCTTCCACTTGACGCCTGTCTTCTGTGTGGTCGTGGTATTTCACCGGGCGAGCCGGGCCGATTCGTGCGAAGATGTTACAGCTCTACTACTGTTAAAAATATACGAGAATCGAGATGTTTTATACTGACATTTTGGTCTCAGAAACCAACGATAAGCTAATAATAACAAATAATACAATATTTGAATAAATAAGCTTTATTTTTGGCCAAACTATTACACTGAATAAAACTTTACACAACTATTGTAATCATATCCTATTACTGTTCGTAACAAATACAATCAAATCGAATATAGCAAGAAATAAACGCTAAAGAGAAAAAAGTTATCCTATGACAATCGAAAATGAACTCTAATATTAATATGAATATAATCTAATTTACTATATAAGCTCAAATATATAGAAATTCTATACAAAAGAACTGAACATATTGGGTTTTTACCTACGTGTGAAAGTCAACCAATTGGTATACACGAAACGCAGTGTATTCTAACGTAATTGGTTAAAGCAAATCTCGCGAATACAGAAAATACAATCGTAAATGTATACAACATTACTCTACTATAGTATTTTATTATAAGAATTACCTTTTTTGGTACAGTCAGCGCAACAATTTTTTATTTAGAAATACATGTTCAAAAGAGTAAAACGATGTAAGAAAGTTTTTGAATATTAATAAAAAGAAAATATTTTCTTAATATTAAAGTTACAGATAAACAGATTATTATTTTAGATAGAATAATTTTTAATAAGAAAATTGTTTACTATTATAAAATTGGTAAACTCTAACCTCAAAATGTTCATGTCAAACAACGCTGACTGTACCGGTAAGTTCAATACATTAGTGTAAATTACACACACTGACCTTTATAAATGGACTGGCTACAAGACGTTGTATTTTGTGCCCATTTGATTTTCACCATTGCTATTGGCAATTGTTACTGTGGTGTGAAAGTAATATAGAAAAAAATAACTGTCACATCAACAGGCGCGTTTAAATCGGAACGAAGCAAAAGCTGTCATTTCCAAGCAAATCGCCTATCCATTTATAAAGATCAGTGCTTACATTTAATTTGTGAGCCGTCCGATACCGGCGTAGAGCACCTGCGATACACCGAAGCACCTTAATACCTTCAACACGCCAAGCACAAGCTTCTTAGCCCTAAACCATGTAACAAATCAAGACCTAAATTTTAAACAAAATTTTACTTAAAATGACAGCCATCACACTATTTTATAGATAGAATATTCTAAAGACAAAGTTAGTCTATAGTGTAAATTGAACAGATATTGGCCACCGAAATTATTTTTTAAATTTTAACGTAAATTATGATCTGGGGGCCTAGCACGAATATTTGTGAGGTCACTTTCGTAACGTTATCGACATAATTGGTATTAGAGTTTGTACAGCGCTCCTACTAGGTGTGCACCAACAAATCTCATAAAAATATTATCGATATCGTTACGAATACGTTCACCTGTCACTCTGTACCATTTATAACTAATATTTAAGTCTTAATTCGTTACATACTATACCCATACGGCCTTAATATGAAGGGTCAATGTACTTTGCACTCTTATCATCTAACATCAATGTTTACATAATACTTTATTTATTGCCAACCATTACATACACTGGCACTATTGATTACAAGCTAAATGTGAATTTAAAAAATATAATTTCAATGCAATTTATTAATACTTATCAGTATTTATAAAAAAACGGTAGAAAATTTATGAAATATACATCTACCTATCGTGCTGCTGGTACACAGATTTATCTCGACTCAATTGAGATTTTAGGAAACATTGGTTATGTAAAGTGAAAATGTTCTCAAAAATAAATTGCGATATATAGATGTTATTTATATATAAGTGTTCAATGGAAGCCATGTAAGTTATCACATGTTAATGAGACAGTTTTGTCCAGGTTACTTTAACCTGAATTAAACATGATTGTGCGATGAAAGTGATAAAAGAATATTTACCGACTGAAGGGACATTTAAAGAGTTTTTAAATAACCATTAAAACCTTACACGTACTGCCTCAAATAAATTAGAGAAGGCTGTACAATGACGACTGCAAACTACAATCCGTGGGGAAAGTCAAGTCTGGCAGACTGTCGAGTGCGTGGAGTATTCGGAGCAGTGTATAGGAGGAATTAGATTTGTTTCGTCACGCCAAGATGACGTCATTTAATCATTGATAGTTGTATCAAGTGAATGGCCTTGAAGCAACATTTTTTTTTAATATTAGCAGATTTCTTACGGAAATTTACTAATATTTCTTTTACCATTTCCAACTAAGCTGTAGGCTTGTGCTAGGATTTGGTTTACGACAATAGTCGAATAGCGGGATTCGAACTCCCGACCTCGTGATCGGAAATCCGTACCCTTAACCATTAGGCTATCGACGCTTATCATTTAGTATTGCATTTAAGCAATTTATGTAAAAAGCTAATTTATTCTGAAGTAAATAAATGAATAGGTATTCAGTTATTACTGTAGGTTATTTACCTGGAGGTTGGACAAGGGTTAAAAAGGTGGGCGGAAAAGGAGATAAAAGTAAGGAATAAGGAGGAAGGGAAATATACAGACAGAATTTTATACAATTATATGTAAAATTTGTAAAATGTTTAATTTTAAAATTTAAATTCAATCTATTCTATTATGTAAATAGGTATTATATAAAAGTTTTTTTTTTAAATGTTTGATTCAGTAAAAAAACACTGAATGTAGAAATCATGCAATTATAGGCAAAAATTTCTAATCTGTTCCCTTCCATACTATAACAGTCATGCAAAGAGGAAGCACATAATGTTATTATGTATTGTCATTCAGTATATAAGCTTTGTTTTGCAGTTAATTTTACTTATATAGAAAAAAAACATCATAATTAATACAAATGCAATCAAATCTGCCAAAATATGCGAATTGTTTTTTTTTTCAAATATAAAAAAGAGGTTTTAATATAATAAAATGGAAAGATTTTTACGAAAAAATTGTCTGTTTAACAATTTCTTTGTTTACAAATTCCTTCATAATCCTATTAGATTTGAATCATATAAATATAGTATCAGATTATGAGAACAGTTACGTATTATTGTAGAAGTTCACTGCGACATTATTATATCGTCGTCTATTTCATTCTCTTTGACAAGAGAGAGACAACTATATTATGGCTTGTGTACTAATTGAACAATTCGGAGGAAATTGGATTTAACATTTGTTAAAAAAATCGATAGTTAAAATAAAGATTAATATATTTTTTTATTTAGGAATTTAAAATCGTGACGTAAAAATTCGTTTAAATTTAAAAAGCGTGACGTCACGCCATGGATGTCTCCATTGTCGTTGATTTTCATAGTTCAATGTTCAGTACTACAATTCAGAATTCAGTACCACAACAATATACAGAGGTAAGATTCTACTCTACACGGCGTGACGTCACTGACGCCATGACAGATAATCGGTGTTTTCGCGGGAATTCGAAATTTATTTGAAAACACGAAATAAACAATTTAATCGTATTTTTATCTTCAATAATATTGATTTAATAATAATAAAAACATTCATTGCTTTACAGAATTAAATATTATTTTTTTTTAACTTGGTACACAAGCCTATTGTCGGCAGTTAACTTCTATAATTATTGAAATGTCAGACTTTATATGCAACAAGTGAATATATAAAATCTTTATATATTCAATGTAAAAATGCAATTATTTTCGCTATATGTTTATTTTTATCTACATATATAATCAATCGTAAATCGTAATCAATCAATTGCACAGATATACAGGATGATATTTAATCACACATTGATAAACAAATTTTTGTATTTAATTTAAGACATTATATTAGTTAGAATCCTTTGGCGCGAATGGCGCGTTATCAAGTCAAGTGTCAGAATTATTAGGTGACATAAACGTCGATATTTTAATAAGGCTAGTATTACGCCAGTACACCGGCAGGTGTCGGATTTTCATTCTAATAATAAGAAATTTTGCATATATTCAAAATGTATACCATCTCTAATATGCTATTATCAATATTTCAGTTTTTTAATAAAACATACTTATTCCAATTTATATGTTTTTATTTCAATACCTTTATAGCTCGCTTTAAATCTTTAGTACTCTCGTGTCTAGTATAAATTTTAATTTAATTGATCATGCAATAATTAACACGCCGTGTGCGTTCTTTTTAAATAACACAAATTTATAAATGTGTACAAATATTTCCTTTGCATATGCGATGCGTAAAAAAATATCACCCTCTATAAGAAAGTTATGTGTAATTACATACTAGAAATGCTTTAATTCCCGGATTAGAATAAAAAAAAGGGAGTTTGATATCTAATGACTCTTATATTCTAGACAATAAGCTATTCATTCAGTCAGCAAACATCATTTAGATGGCGGAATCACAACTATTGCAAAAAATATTGCTATCTCTTTCCTTTCAAAGAGTATGAGAGGGACATCCATATGTTTTCATCAGTGTTTCAACAGACCCTACATACATTACATTTGGCAAAGAATTAATAATTTTAACTCATATTTATATTGCTTTAAAGTTCATATTTGATTGCTACAAAATGCGTGTTATAATGAACTACCAAACAAATATTACGAATGTACTATAGCGTGACTAAACATGATTGAGACTGGAATTTTTTTCCCATCAAGTTATGCACTAAATTGATTTTTAGTTGCTTTATTCGACGAAAAATATTTTTTTTAATTCATTCCTTCCTAATAAGTACAAATGTAGTAATTTCTTTCACATTTCAAGTCTCAAATTCACTTAATCGATATATTTTTTTTTAAATTGCAATCCCGCCATCTAACAAACCGAACTGGACATTACAAATTTCCATACAAAATGTACAAAACGGTATCAACAGTCAACCTGTGTAAAGCTGATTGTATCTCACCTAATGTCCAATCCTGTTTGACATCTGTTGATGACGTCGTTTTAATCTTTCCAGTCCTTTTTAATCTCGAAGCTCCACTCCCACTGAAGGTGGATGTTCTTATCATCATCGGTGAAGAGACTGTTGACGGTGTAGGAGCCGCGCGCCATCAGACCAGACGGCGCGTCCTCCGGTGGTGTGGTGTAAGACTGGATCTCGGTCTTCGGAGGATACGAACCAACCATGTGGGTCATTTTGTCCACTGGAATAGCGAAAAAAATATTATTTATCAGTAGTTTAGTGTTTTATAATATGCAAATCTTACTAATATTATAATGCAAATGTTTGTATGTATGTTTATGAGAAGATATCTCCAAAACTATTGAATAGATCTCGATAAAATTTGGAATACATGTCTACTAAACTACGAATAAATAAATTTTTGTTTTCAATTCGTACGGAGTCGCGGGCGACAGCTAGTACTCTGTAAATTATATATAAAATTTAATTACTATACCATACTATATAAATCAGTGGAACATTAAAATTAAACATTTTAAAATCAAGTATCAAGACGATTTATACTAAAACTTCAAATATTCAAACCTTTAATACTTTAATTTTAAAAACCACAAATATCAAGATTTATTCCTTTAAATATTATTTAAACCACCTTGATACTTAAGATCAAAATGCATACACATTGCATCGATGTCCGAATAGTCTCGAGTCCTTGATATGCGACAATAGACCTTAATAACATAGTACAAGTGACGACATCACCGAATATCGTCCACCTCATTGCATACAATACACGAGACATATTTATGTGCGTAGGCGCATATTTATAGCTTTGTTAATAGCACAACGAGATGTGAATATAAATTTGTACGTACCGGGCGCTGTCCAGTATTCGATGCGTGAAAGAAAAACAACTCAAGTAGTGTCATTGATAATGAGAATTAGTTATTTTAAAGGTTTAAAATCGTCTAAATTAATAGTCCAAAATAATACTAAACAACAATACAACTCTCGTATGAATCTGTGTATCACCAATTCGTTTGATATAAGCCTCATTAAGACAATCCCTAGATACACTACCTTAATATTAGTAAATCTATACTAATATTATAAAGCGGAAGAGTTTGTTTGTTTGTTTGTTTAAACGCGCTAATCTCAGGTTTTGAAAAATTCTTTTTTTGTTGCATAGTCCATTTATAGAGGAAGGCTTCAAGCTATATAACATTACGCTGCGACTAATAGTTTATTTTTAATTCCACGCGGACGGAGTCGCGGGCGACAGCTAGATTACTAAGATTTATGATATTTACCGGGCATTCCCATACGGTAGGTCTTCTGCACGTACTTAAGGCCGTGTACGATCTCTCGCTGGACAATAAAATCGATCCTTATCCGATACTGCACACCCTCTTTGATAACAAACACCTGAAAATAAAATACAAATAAATTATTTATTTAAAAAAAACTGTGGATTTCTCTAGAATACTCATTTAAAAACCCTCAAAGTTTAATTCACTTAATGTTGGTTTCTGAAACGAATATCCCCTTCTTAAACGTATTGTTAACTCTGTTTTGGTCAAAGATAATGACAAAGATGACGATATATTTTATACAGATATTTTGGTCTCAGAAACCAACGTTTAAAAATCCTTAACATAACTATACATTACGATATAAAGAAAGAAGAGACAAAAAATTTTATGTTTTTTTTTTAATTTTATTTTATATCATAGATTTAAGACATTAATATCGAATGTTAGACCTTCACGGATATGAATATTGTCAATAATATAAAATATTTTAAATTTAAATATTAGAGACAAAAGATACATTTCCCTTCCCACCTCTCCTTTTACCACGTCATGACTTAACTCTTACCTGTCACGTAAATACAGTTTATTACATGACATTTATTATGTCTTTTCAAATCATTAGTTCAAGAATTAGTTTAGCTGTACAGAGGGGGAACGCTGCCAGTATCTTCGGGACCTTGCCTAAAGGGACTCCTTTTAATAACATATTTTAGTTAATTATTCGGTTTTTTTTAATATTTTATTTTATATCATAGATTTAAGACTTTATGTATTCATAGAAATAAGGATGTAAATAAATATTTTAATATTTCAAAAAAAAAAAATCATAATTACATCACAGGTACACAAAATTAACAAGAACAAGGCGTGTGCCATTCAGTAATTATTTATACCATACGTTAGTCACGAGTCTGTACACAGGATGTTATAAAAATCCGAAGCCTTTGTAATGTAAAATACGGAAAATGAAGATTCTCATTGCGAGGCCGTGAGATAGATAAAACGGATAACATGGTTTTACTCGCACATTTATTATTCGATTTAATGACAAGTATCAAGATAATTTCTACTGTTGAAACACTTGAATGCATATTTTGTCATTCCCCTCATATGTTTAAATTGAACGCTGATTAAAATATTACAAATAAACATAATTATTTTTATTTTATATATTATGCATAAAATTAGAACAAGGCTTGGAATACTATGCTTTTACGAATTGACTGTACATACAATATAGAACAATATTTTCGGATAAAAAATTTAAAAAAAAGGAGGAGAGGAGGAAACAGGAAAAATTCCTTTGAGGAAAAATGGAGCATCGAACACATGCAAATAATGTATGGATCTTATGTAATAATTTCCTAACTGACTAACACCGTATACGGTGGCAAATTGTGAAAGAATCAACTTTATTCGATTTTTATCTAGAAAATTATAAAATAAATTTACGATATTAATTAAAAAACTATACAGACGGTTCTAAAACCCAACCAAACTATATCCATAATTTTACAACATACAAAGTAATTTTTGAACATATTAGGAAAAGAACACCCTGTACATATGTGCTGGACATATGCCAAACGCAGTGAAACGCATCACATCTCGTTAATTGCGAAAGACGCGGATGGTTAGTCGAGTGACGTATGTTACAGCACCTGTCAGGAAGATCACCAGACCTGTCTACTTTGACAATTAGCCTGTCACAACAATTAACAGACTATCAATAAAAATAATTACGTTAGGCTAAGCTAAGCACATCTAGAGTATATGATAACCTCTTTGTTACATTTGACGTCTAAGCCAAGTCATTCACTTTTTTCCCCAAGTGAAACCAAAAATTAAACTTTTAATATTTTAGTAATAAATAAATTCTTACATAATACTGCCTATACATACTACTCCAAGCAACCAAAAATTATTTCCGTTCCACATGTAAATATCTTCTCAAATTAATCTGTACCCAAGGGGTTAAGGCATATCAACATACCAAAACACTGGATATAATAATACAAATGCCACTTTGCTGTATACCTTTGTATGTATGTATGTATATTACCTAACCATCTAGTACTTTAACTAAAAAATCTATTTTCTTTTACATTTAATTGTTAGGACCAAACCACACAACCAAGTCTGGCGTTTGCCTTCTAATAAGTAAAAAAGGACATATAAAAATCTACTGATGGTACATACCTGTTTCTTGAGGTCTGTGAGATCCCCAGAGAGGTCTAGCTCAAGGTCATCGCGCTCTGTCACACAAAGTGCTAACTTCTTCACAATCACCTTACGAGGGTCATTCGGATCTGTGGATGAATTATTAGGTTCATATTTGGATTTATTCTCTATCTTTTAATTAACATTTAATTATATATTCAATAAAAATATATTATTTAATTTGTAGAATAATGTAAAAATGGAATATTAGCCAATTATTGACTCATAATGAAAAAACTATGATTTCCACCAAGACTATTGAGTAATTCACTTTTTTTTATTTCATATCTTAAAACTACCGAAGCAATTGTGGTTCATATATGTTATTTAGTTCAAATTAACACAAATTAGATCCCTATGAATTCAAGTAATATTGACAATTTTTTTATTTATAATAGCTGTCGACCTGAATATATAAAAAAATTTCAAGGCATAAATTCCAAAAAAAAAAAGAATAAATAGTATCCTATGTCTGTCTCCATGCTCTAAACTACCGCCTCACCAATTTTCAGCTATATCGGTAAAGCCGTTCTTGAGTTATAAATTGTGTAACTAACACAACTTTCTTTTTTATATTATACTAGCAGACCCGACAGACGTTGTCCTGTCTACACGTCTTTAATTTGAATAAATTAATATGAAGTTAATATTTGATGAAAATTGTCAATCTAAACCATTCCCAGATCCCCTTGAACACACACAAAAAATTTCATCAAAATTGGTCCAGTCGTTTGAGAGAAGTTCAGTGACATACACACTCACAGAAGAATTATATATATAAAGATAAGAAGATGAAATATGTAATTATTTTGACAATCCGATTAAATCGTCAAACTCGAATAAACATTTTTAAATAAAAAAAGTACGAGTTGATGCAACACTGATAACTTATCACAAAACTTGTTATCTCTATAGATAATGTCTGATAAGAAATTTAGGAAATGTATTATACCAATATTTTGAAGGCAAGTTTTGTAAACAAAATAATGCAGTAACAAACATAAGTTAAAACTTAGTACAATTTCTGACTGGATTGTTTTTTATTTTTGAAATAAATACAAACTGTTTAATAATCAACCTATCCTGGTTTTGCTTAGCTAAATTGGAAGAATTTTAAAAAAAAGAACATAGGGTGAACGGAAACCTATAAATGATTTTATATTATAGATTTGCACATGATGAAAAAATCTAATATTAATTAAGTCTTTCCATGATTCTGAAACGATTAATTAACTAAAATTACACTAATTATAATATTGCTAATAAAACTTATTTTATCATAGAAAAATTCTAGGTATTACCACATTTATGGCATTCGTATTATTCCTAGAATAACTAAGACCACGTCCGAAGTCTATGATTACAGATTAAATATATCCGGTAGAGCAAAGTAGGTTAATGGAAAATATCCATAAATAGAATGAAATGAACTTTAACAATAGAGTATAATGATTGTGTAATTTAAGAAATGTAATGTCAGTTAAACCTGAACCTTTGTTTTTATAATTATGTTCTGTTTTTCAATATTAAATACTCAAACCACTAAAGATTAGGATGTCACTAGAATTCTAAATTTCACGGTATATGATGTTGAACATATTGTAAGAGGTCTAAGATGAAATGGATGGATTGCATGAGAGGTGACATGCCTAAATGATCCATTCAAACAAAATGCAACAAAATGCATTCACTCCAAAGCGATTATATAAGTCGAAAATTGTATAGAACTGTAGAAGTCACATGTCAGAATCTTACATTCTAAAATTTCATTATGGAATTGCTTCAGAACAAATTTACTATGACTATAGGGGATGATTCCCTACTAATAAGAAATAAATGAAATTAAGATCCATTTAGAATTTAAAACCTATATATATTAAAACGTCAATAAGGTAGGATAGAGCCACAAATTATAATGTTTTTTTTTTATTGAATATTCCTCATAAAACTTACCAACTATAACTGTTCCTGCTTGCGCCTGTCCTAATAATGCTTCCTTGTACTTTCTCAATGATTCATCTTCTTGATCAGCTGCTAAAATTTCCTCAATGGTCTTTTCTGGTGGTGGCCTGTATGAAGACTTGATTTCTTCCTCTTCTGTCTCTTCACCTTCAGGAGTGCGTGCTACTTCGGGTTCACCAGACATGTTAGGAATTCTAAAAAAGAATGACTAAGTAAGAACTCATACTAGTTTTAGTGGGATAAATAAATAAAAAATATAAATAACCTATGTTGCTTTATATTAAACCTCTCTTTTGTTATTTGGAATCAAGTTCAATAATAGATGTGTGAAAAAGGAATTTGGTTTAACATTCGTAATATTTTCTCTTTATATGTTAAAACAACATCAGTAATTTTGATTGTGAATAATATTGAATTTGTTAAGTATTTTAAGTTAGTTTAATTTTTAGTAATATGCTTTATTATTTGGGCTTATTGCCATGGTACTTAAATATGAGATAAGATTATTTTCAAACAGGTTTCTACTTTTAATTTTCAATCAACTATTGTGACATTAGTATGACTAATAGTGATCAATAAGGAATACATTACTATCAGCGCTGATCTGTGGTTACCGCAAACGTGGTGATACAAGGAACCGCCCTTTCAGATTCTAATATTAATATTCTTGTAACAATTTAATTGAAATAATGTTTTATTTGCATTAGTCTATGAGGCGTTAGGATATTTATATCTATACGAGTGCAGCGACACTGACGCATGCTCCACCGGTTCTCTGTCTCAATAACATTTTAATCGGCATCGTCATTTAGAGCTAGCGATGCAGGAGTCCTCCACTCATTGACAAAAAATAAACAAATAAAACTCACGTTATATTGAAGTTAGTGCACCAATAATAGCAGTAATAACTGCAATTAAACAATAGCACAAAAAAATTAATAAACGTAAAAACTAATAATTTCTAAAATCTATAGGACATAGGACTATAGATCAAAAATGACTGACGGACGAAATGCTTCCGGTTGGCGACATCTACAAAACTCTATATGCTGATATTAGCAATGGTACAGAAATACATAGTTAATAATTATTTCAAAGAAAACAGCGGTATTTCTTCAATTACAATTTTAATGTCGTATGAAAACATTTCAGTACACTTTTGTTTTATTCTTCGAGGAAATAATTTTTTTTGTGAAAAACATTTAGTCTGCATCGTGTTTTTTCGTGCTAATTGACGTCAAACGTCCTTTATTGTCAGTTGTCAATGTCAATAACTGTCAAAAATATTGTAATAAACAATATCTTTGAACAATTTTTCTTGTATATATATTATATTATATTATTATTATTACAGTTAATGATATAAAATGATAAAATAATTACTATTAAACTTAAAACACTATGCTTGTAAGTATGCTTTTACATCTTAAACCTACTTTTGAAATATTTATATGTAGGAATGTTAATTTTCAGAAATTACGACTGCGAAGTTTTATGCCAATGTTATGGAGACACCAAAGATATAATTTTATGTGCACAAATGAATCCCAAGTAACTGAAGATGAAAAAGAAATTGAAATTAAAAGAATCAAAGAGAATGTGAGTATGTATGTTCAGGAAAATCAACCACCAATCATATTAATTCTTTATTCAATTGTACAGTAATGTCTCTTTTTACTTGATAAAACATCTGAAATGTTGATGAACTTCATTGTTAAATAACCACTACTAAACCACTGAACTTTACAACATACGACTCCTACATGCACACATTTTTTTTTTAATCTGTACATAGCAACAAGCACATTTTTTTATCAGGCATCATTAGATGAACCACCCACCGCTTGCTGCCAGTCAGGATGTGCCAACTGTGTGTTTATTGTCTGGGCAGAAGCTTTGACTTCAAAAATGGAAAATGCAGGACCAGAGATTATTGAGAAGATAATGAATAATGTGGATGATCCATCTATGAAAGCTTATTTAGAAATGGAATTAAGAATAAGAGGATTGAAGAAATGAAGACATTAATGTTTTGATTACATATTTATCATTTATAGAGTCTATTGATTTATTATTCTTAAAAAAAAAACAAATATTTATTATGCCTGTAAAGATCTCGATAGTTATCTTTATGGTATAAAAAAAATATGAAGAACATTAGTGTAAATATGTAAATAGTTATAGACTTAATAAAACAATCTTTAAAATTATTCTAAAATTATTATTTTAAATTATATTAATATCCCAAGAAAAAGTTACCCTAGTTTTTTTCATATTGAATAAGTCAGTTCTTGATAACGCACTTGATGTTAAGTGATGATATGGTCAAACAATTGTACGCCCAAGAGCAGTAAATGCCTTAGTAGTTGCCTCAAGTTATTGCTTTTGTTAGTAATGGGGTGAAGAAACATTGTAGCGCGTCTCGCCGCCTTTATTGCGTACCTAGAAACATGTCAACGCATCTCAAAAAATTTTGAATATTAAGGTTATATAAAATTACGATGTTTGATGGTTTACAACAAATACTTTCGTGATACAAATTTACACGAACGAAATTTATTTGATACGACCTTGTAAAGGTCGATTTCGGTAATATATTACGGTCAGCGTGCGATATAAAGAAGAAAAAATGTTTTAATTAAATCACAAAATGGCCTCCCGGATGCAATAAATCTTCACCAATCTTATTTATGTTTGGTTTTATTGAAATATTGCTAAAGGTATAAACAAACTCGTCGATATTTCAATGGTTAAAAGTCCTTTTTGCGCTGTCCACTTAGTAAGCGCAGTCTTTTAAGTGCTGGATTCGCGCCCACTCAAGGGTACCTATACTAACTAGAAAGCAACGACAAAAGTAAAAAAGCCAATCTACCAAATAGTCGCGATTAATTTCCCAAACCCGCCGCGTCATGGCATGGGAGAAAGCTAGAGTCGTCGTTGCATCAGCCATGCGACCACCACAGACACCATCGCGCTTCAAGGTGGAGTCCACGTCGTCGATTCCCACGGACCACCCTTGTTTTCCTCTTAGTTTCACCGTGGGAAAATATACTACGGCAAGGAGGGGGATGTGTATGGATTCTAAAACACAAAAGAAAATAATAAGGCAATTTTGTGTGAAAAAGTAAAAAATATATTCTGTATACCGACTTTGGATCTTATGAAAATGTCAGCCCCGCCTACTTACAATATAATTACAAACTGAAAGTATCAGAAAATAAAAAAAAATGTGAAAGCAACAAAGGCTTTGTTGCTTATTTTCGTCCCTCGCCAGTCAATATTATTACGCATGAAATACAAAATTGCCCAACAATTCAGATATGAATTGAACAAGATAAAATATGAAAAACATTTTTTACCAGACAATTGCTGTAGTGTGTATATTTATTTTTGAAACACATAGACTTCGTGTTTTTATTTAACATGTTCATATTTTTGTTTATTTATTATTTATATAAATAATTAACGTCAATTTTTTTTACGTCCGTTGTTTCGTTTACTCCGTACGCTTACTCGTATTGCGGCAGTAAGACAAATTAAAATTTCGGCATCCAACCTTTTTTTTGGGTATTATATACTATTTCAGTAAATATTAAGTTTTTATATTTTCTCGTGATAATATTTCTAACTAAATGATTGTCTCCATTACAGTTAATAAAACGAAATAAATTAAGCCTGTCATATACAGAAAAATGTTTTGTAACATCTGGCTCTTCTCACGGTTTTTGTTATGTGACATTATTTCCTTTTAAAACAAATGCAGAATAAAAATTGCACATCTATTATTTTATGTCACGATCACTTTTAATATTTTCTTACCCCCTTTATTATTCTGTCAGGTTCTTTGCTTTTTTACTTATGCCAATGCGGAGAGGTTGTCTATGGATTTTGTTTCACGATTGAACAAATTAGGCCGTATCCTAATGAAATTATTTTTTCTTTTAATTTAATGTAAATTCATTCAAATTATATCGTCCACTGCGTCTTGTTATAAGAGTAAAACAAACTTCGTATCTTTTTAACATTATGATTTAATGTCCATTTTCCCAACGCGTGAAATATTTCACTTTATCAGACTTTCAGATTCCATCAAAAGTTCCTTTTATGTGTAAACTTTGTGAACATGAAGATAATCTACATATTATATTTTCATCTCCCATCATTTATTTGCTCTTAATTTTTTTTTCATGAAACAAAAAAAACCATATATACAGTGTAAATACATAGTAATAGTAGATATTTATATTTTCGTAAACAGCGAGAAATCGTAATGGAAACGAATTTGCAAGATTGGGAGCGGATGACGGGCAGAAGTGTCTGTTTTAATATTTATAGTCTGGAAGAACACATAGTCTTACTTATCAAGTTTTTTTTTTAATTCCGCGCAGACGGAGTCGCGGGCGACAGCTTAATTTATAATAAGTAACTGAATATAACCATCTCCAAAAGTGGTGTTGTCACTATACTTGTTAGGAGTACAAATGTGTCACACGGCTATGAATATCTACTTACAGAAAAGAAAGTCAAAAAAGCAACCGTATCAATTGGTTTTCTCTAATACTCATGTATCTTGGATATACCGAAAATGAAAACGACAACATAAGACTAGGGGATAAAGTTCTGTGTACGAAGAGTATTAACATGTGCCCACACCCTGGTAAACAGTGAGTCGAGAGAACCAGAAGGGGTTTAGTGGGTAGGCTCCTTGTCCCTTTAGGGATGTGGAGAGAGTCCCACATAACCGTGGCTTTCCCCGAGGCACGCGGTATGCGTAACGCATTTCCCCTCTTAAAAAAAAGGGGGACAAAGTACAAATACAAAGCGATTCCATAAAGATTTTCAAAAATATGCAACTGACAATACTTTCGATAAGTTACATGATTGTGGTGCGTCATTTATATACAATTTTGAAGTTCGCTAGCGAATCGCTTCGAAGCGAATGCACTTTGTCTAACCCAGCTTCTACGCAACACACAACAATTTGGGAGGGCTTAACCTTATTTAAAGATTATGATGTTGTTACATTTCATCGGTATGTTTTAAGATTAGATAGTAGATTGATTTTAAATGCCTATGTGGGTGTTTCAGTAAGACAAGCTTTCGTCTTTCCTCAACCGCTATAGAATGTAAAAATAAATTCCAAGATTTGGATAATTCTGAGGATTTGGGTACAATTAGGGCGACAAATAGATTATCAACGGATAAACGTGTTTCTTTTCTAAGAATAACTAAAAGAATCTTATATAGGGTGTCCGAAAAGGTTACGTACATAGAAAGGGGGATGATAGGGGTGGTCACAAGGGTCACCAGAAAAATAAAATAAAAATTCCCCTCTGGGTATTAAAAAAAATAAATGGCTTTTTTTTAAACTTAAAAATTTTACACCTTCTAAGTATAATATAGTTGTATATAAGTTTTTCTAAAAATCTTCGTAACACATAGGTCATACACGTGAATATGTTTACACGTGCAATGTCAAAACTATTCTCATTAAAATACATGCGTTGAATTCTGATACTGAAATGTGTTAACATGCATGAGACCAGTTCATATTTTCATGTAAACTAACCATTTTAAAATGTATTACTCACATTGTTTTATTTCTTATAGAAGCTGATACGGTTTGAATTTTAATAACCGAATTTAAAAAAGTTGTAAATAAAAATATCTATAAAAAATAATCTTTGAATTTCTTCAGCAGGTTGCATCAAAAGCAATTTTTTGCTCCGTTTTATAAATGTGGTTAAATTGGATTGTAAATGTTTACCCCTTTTACAAACACCGTATGCAAAAAGGTAGTTATGGAAGAATAGAAGAGGAAGGGGAAATACCATTTTGCTTTAAATCACCTCTTCTGTCCATTACTACAGCTATTTATAATGCTGGCGCATTGACCCAAAGTGGGTCTTGGCCTCGGACACAAGAGATCGCCAAAGTCCCGCACCAAAGACCTGCAGATCCAGCTCTACGGTGTCTCGCCAGCGGTACCTGGGCAGACCGATTGGTCGGCGGCCAGTATGGATCCCGAGATATGCTGCTTTGGCCTTTCGATCTTCCCCCATCCTCATGCCAGCCATGAGAGTCTCTGTCTATTAAATGACATTAATTGTTTATTCAAAGAGAATTACAATTGGAGTACGAGAGTTTCGACTGTGGAAAATAACGGTTAAATTTATCTTTTGCAAGTATTTCCTCCTAAGCTCTGTCGATTCTTAAAATAAGGTCCTCAATCACCAAGCTTGTCATTTATAAATTAATCTCTTACTCGGAAGTAAAATTTTACAAAGGGATCGGTGGATTTGTTTAAAATAACTTTTTGTTTTAACAAACATTGAGACATTTTTGGCATCCCGAAATATTTACATATTTTTTTAGTTTTTTTAAATTGAAAAACGACGCATCTGATTTACATTTCATTTTCAATTTCCGATGTTTTGCAATATAAAGTCAATTCCTGGTTGAAACGGAACATTGATAAAATTAGAAATATCGTAAGCAATAAAAGTAAGACATAAAACAATCTACATTTACTTTCAAATGGAATAATTACTTAAAATTACAAAATGGTAGAACCATAAAGGATTGATTTGATAAAATTAAAACGCAAATAGATGTTACAAGAAATCTTTTTAATTAAAAATGCTCGTTTATCTTGGATAAAAATAAGTTCGTACGCGAATTATTTTGTAAAAGTCTGGAATAGAGACTGCGACCGTGAACTGGCATCGTTTGTTTTCTTTTCCAATAAATTAAATAAAAAAAACAATCTATTTTAAATTTGGAATGGAACCGTTTGTTGATAAAAAGGATTTTATCTTGCTCTTTATGATTTTATTTACAAACTATTGTTAGAACATTGGTAATATTTTTAAGAAATAATCGAGAAAATGTATGCTACATAGGGTTTTATTTTCTTAAAAGCCTAAGGCTTTTTTATAACATTTTGACTTGCTACAAGGTCCTATTCCGTTCTTTTTATAGTACAAGGTGGTAGACGAGTGGTTTGTTTTTAAATATTTTTCTAAAATACACCGCTAATGAGCGAAATTCCACAGGAC